TCCCATTTACATGTGCCCACCCTACTGAGGTGATTATGCATTTTAATTTTCCAGCCAGTTGTTTTGGATTGGTGACTTTGTAAAGGGCCAGAGAAGGAGCATCTTTAGCTCCCATACCCCAGGATCTCTGTTGCAATTGTTCAACTCCACCTGCAGTGAGAGGCAGCCAGGCCAAGACCCAAAGATGTAAGGCTATATACCAATCACATTTTGTGTGTAGAAGAGACCTAGAATAGCAAAAGCCATCCTAGGCAACAGAGATATGGCAGCAGGTATAACAATTCCCAATTTGAAACTATACTGCAAAGCCACTGTGATAAAATCAGCATGGTACTGGCAAAGGAAAAGATCTGAGGATCAGTGGAATAGATTGGAAGATACAGAAATAACTCCAGATATACTCAGCTACCTCATCTTTGACAAAGGAGCCAACCATCCACAGTAGAGGAAAGATAGCCTCTTTAATAAATTGTGTTGGAAAAACTGGATCTCAACCTGCCAAAGATTAAAACTAGACCCTTATCTTTCACCATGCACTAAACTAAAATCCAAGTGGATTAAAGATCTTAATATTAAAAAAGAAACACTAAATTTTCTGGAAGATAAATTAGGCAGAACTCTTGAAGACACTGGCATAGGAAAAGACTTTATGAACAAATCCTTGGTAGCATGGGAACTAGCAGAAAGAATCAACAACTGGGATCTCTTCTTATTAAAAAGCTTCTGCACTGCAAAAGAAACCATCAACAGAACTAAAAGACAACCTACAATGTGGGAAAAAATTTTTACAGCTGTACCTCAGACAAAGGACTGTTATCTAGAATATATAAAGAACTAAAAACACCCCAGCCCCCCCAATATAAAGATCTGATTTAAAAATGGGCATCTGAAATGAATAGACATTTCTCAGACAAAGAAGTAAAAGCAGCAAATAAATATATGAAAAAATGTTCCACATCACTGGTCATTTGCGAGATGCAGATGAAAACAACACTGAGATTCTACCTCACCCCAGAAAGAATGGCTGCTATCAAGAAATCAACCAATAACAAATGTTGGCGGGGTTGTGGGGAGAAAGGAACCCTTCTCCATTGTTGGTGGGAGTGCAGACTGGTGCAACCACTATGGAAATCAATATGGAGATACCTCAAAGAACTAGGATTAGAGGTTCCATTTGACCCAGCCATCCCTCTGCTGGGTATCTTTCTAAAGGAATTAAAAGAATCATATCACAGTGATATATGTGCACCCATGTTTATAGCAGCACAGTTTGTAATAGCTAAAACTTGGAAACAGCCCATTTGCCCATCAGTTGGAGAATGGATAAAGAAGATGTGGTTTTTCTATAAAATGGAATACCACCCAGCCATAAAGAATGAGAAATTACAGTCATTCATAGGAAAATTGATGCATATCAAGGATATACTCTTAAGTGAAACAAAGAAGTCACACATATGTAAATACCTAATAGTTTCTCTGGTGTGAAAAACTGTAATAGTACATAAGATCCTAATGGTATAATTGACAATGTGAAATAGGAAGAAAAGGGCTAAAGGTATAGGGGAAGTGGGAAGGGTAGGGGAAAGGAAATAAAGAAAAAAGAAAAAAATATGAGAAAATGGAAATAATGTATTTATACATAGGGAAGGGAGGAGGGGGTGAAGGGAAGGCAGGGATAAGGGGAAAAAATGAGAACCAAGACCTGTCATGTAAAGGCACAAGATCCTAATGGTGAATATAACTGCTGTATACCTAAAATGTACCAATAAACTCAATGAGAAAAAAAAAATTTGTGTGCAGAGCTAGGCTGCTGTGGACCTAGCCCTTGGCACAGGATGCAGACTGCACTGATTGTATTCTGAAGGTGAAAACATGTCACAGTTGAACAGGTGTCTCTCCTGTTTTGTAGCTTAGATCAAAGGTGTCCCCAGAGGGTCCTGTGCTAAAGACTTGTTCCTCCAGTGGGTACTCTTTGGAGCTGGTAGAACCTGAGGGGCCCAGTACAGGTCCTGGGATTTGGACCTCTTTCCCTTGCAAAAGGTGGTGGGATCCTGTCCTCTGCCTACAGCTGAGGTGAATGCTGCTCTGCCTTGAACATCAGCTGTGGAAAGGTGCCTTTTCCCAGAGCCAGGAGCCAGGCCATTACAGACTGGAACCTCCAGAAACGTAAGCCAGGATTTGGGTATTTGTTAGGGACAGAGACTGGGCACACTACTTGTCTCCAGAAACGACTTCAGACATGTTGAACAACCTTTCTCTTATTCCTGTCTTGCAGTTTCATTCTTAAGTCTGCAATTTCTTATGACCTTTTGGTGGATATGTTTATCTCATTAAAGTCACCATCATCTGTTTCAGGTTACGAAGAGATTTTAACAGCAGTGTGACTGCATTTGATCAAACACTTAGTGTGAACATGTCCCTTAGTATTCCTATGCTCATGCCACTTCTCCCGAAAGGTGAGATACTGCAGCAGAGCAGGATTGAAGAGGGGACTCTGGAGGAGTGGGAGTGCCCAGAGACACAGACTCTCCTGACCCCCTCTGGAGGATAAAGGGGGTGATTCTCCCTTCTCCATCCTCCCCTTCTTCCAGAGTAACAGCCCTGGAGGTTTTAAGGTATTTTTTTTCTGTACTGGAGACGGAAGCCAGGGCCTTTGCACTGAGCTACATCCCCACCCCTTTTTATGTATTTTAAAATTTTAAAGCAGGATTCTGTGTGTCGCTATGTTGCCCAGGCTGTGATCACACCTGCAAACCTCCTGCCTCAGCCTCCCAGAGCCAGGATTACAGGCGTGCACTGACATGCCAGGTTACATTGCTGGTGTTTAAGATGGCATCAACTGGCTCAAGGAAAAGAGGGTGTGCACTTGGTGTGCCTCAGTCTACGTGATCAGACCCCATTTGCTGGGGCAGTGACCCTTTCACTCCTGGGCAACAGGCACCTGGGTGGAAGGATCCCTTCCACTACCATGCCCTTCCCTGGGAGGGGGAAAACACAGAGCCACAACTCAGGGCTGCCTCTCCTCTCCTGCATGCTGGGAGGCAGGAACATAGGCTGGGCACCATGTCGTCTGCCCTCAGCTGTGTGGAGTCAGCCCAGGGCTGAAAATGCTGTTTGGGTGCAGGTCAAATGCACTCTTTGGTTTTCTTCAGCACCCGATCTGCATGGGGACCCATGGAAGCCGGAGTGGAAAGCACCGGCTGACAAATGCAGGGACCCAGGGATCCTGCATACTCCTCACGGGGGACTCAGTTGCGTTGGGCAGGTTATAGGTGAGGTCCTGTACCCACCACCGGCCAGACCTTGGGGAGTCAGCCACTTCTTGTGCTCAGTCCTTTTGCAGGAAGGGACATGTTCTGCACCTTGGGGACCAGAGGTATAGGGAAAGCATGTTCTCGGATGGAACCCATCAGAAATGAAGGACATCAGAAGCCCTGGGACCATCCAAGGCAGGGACTCTGGCAGGGTCTGCTGGCATTCCCATCTCAGCCTCTGCCTTTCTGGCACATTTGCCACTGTGTGGAGCCTGTAGAGGGCTGGTGAGGACTGTGGTGTCTGAGGAGCGATGGTCTTGGAGGGGGCCTCTGAGCTGCTGGGGTGTCCATCCCTCAGAAGTGACCCTGCTCCTGTGGTCAGGATGGCGAAAGCAGGGGCTGTGTTTGGGTGTGGTAGGGAACAAGAGGGACGTGAGCTTCCTGGACTATTTGCTCAGTTTGGCTGTGACCTGAAAGCTGCTCTAAAAGTGAAGTTAATTAATTAGCACTTAAAAAGTTACCAGTTGGGGATGACGGTGCGATTCAGTGGTACAGAACTATTATGTTTGAGGCCCTGGGTTTGATCCCCAGCACTGCAAATATAAATAAGACTGGGGCATGGTAGCTCATGCCTGTAATCCCAGTATCCTGTGAGGCTGAAGCACGAGGATATGAACTTCAAGCCCAATTGAGGCAAATGAGTGGTTTAGCAAGAAGCTAAGGATGTACCTCAGCATGGAAACCATAGATTCATTCTCCAGTACCACAATAAATCATCAATCAATTATCAGAAAAACGTTATTAAGAAAGAACATTTACAGCCAGTCAGACACGAAGAACTAAAATCAACACTGTATTGTTAACAAAGAATACAATGTTATTGTAAGGTACTTAGGAGTAAAGAACAATGCATAATATACATCTAATTTTTTAAGACAATATACAGTCAACATGTTCTGATCAACAGTATAAACCATATAAAAGAAAATCTTGCTTTCCATTTGTACAAATACTGCATTCATCACTGCAAAACTTTACAAGGTTAAAATGCACCACATCAAGAAGCTGTAACACACAGTTACCGTCCGCAAGGTCACCCCAGTACCAGCCCTCAGACCCATGGGGTCTCTCTATCTACAAGAGATTATGGTGTACAGCAAGATTATTTTGTAGTCAAATCAGGTCAGTAGAGGTTTTAAAAAATAAGTAAATGCCTCTAAAGAAGTATGCACTTAAGTTTCCTCTTGTATTTGTCCTGCAGTGTGAGGAGTGGGGATTTCTAGTGACCCAGGGTTAGACCTCAGAGCACTCACTGAGACTTTTCATGTGTATGGAAGAGAAAGCCTGACTGGCTTGTTTTTATTCCAGGTATAGTTTATGACCAAAGTATTAAAAATGTTTCTAAACACAAGAAGATTCCTATTTCTACAAAAGCCAAGCAACTATGTATCAACCCTTGAAGTCTGCCCTGCACTGACAGATGGAGGATTTCCTTCACCCTTCCGGATAAAGGTTCCCTGGTTGCTACAGGGAGAGCAGCAGTGCTAGTTGTACAGGCAGAAGAATTACCTATGGCACTGCCAGTCCACCTTTAACAGACCACGCGAGCCCAGCACATACCAACCATGTCTGTCGTGGGCTTCCTCTGTGTGCTATCTGTGGGGAGTCACTCCTTCGGCCCTTGGGCAGCTGTCTCAGGAACTCTCTCTAGGTCCAATACTCAGGGAGGGTGTTGACTTCTTTGTGTTTACGGGTCTTGGGGTCTGAGAGTCACCCACTCTGTGGGGACACGTAGCCAGTCCCTGAGCTGTGGGTCTCAACACTGGCTTGTGTTACAGTGGCCTTAGGAGCTTTACTAAGAGCAAAGTCTTGGGCTTATCCCTTAGGACTTTGCGTTAAATGGGTCTCAGGTGTAGCTCCTGGGCAACCGAGGCACAGCAGGGCAGTTGGACTTGGACTGGGTAGACCGGTGGTAGATTTCATGGGTGTGTTGTGTAAAGCACACACATGTAGCACTGTTAAGGCTTTCCCGATCCTTCTGGTCCATATTGGTCAGTGAATATAAATTGTAAATAGAGAAATAAAATAGAATAATCCACATTAAATCTGATTAGTACACAGAAACCAACAAAGTGCTATATTATTACTGCTTTTCTTGTATTTACAAGGTGGTGTTGTCAGAAGATCAGAGGACAGCATGTGACTGGATTCTCCTCCTCACAGTGTTCCCTTTGCCTTAGCACTGTCTCATGCAGACTCAGCAGAGCCTGCCTGGGCCAAGGCAAAGCCACTGTGCTGTTTCCTCTTTGCTACTTGGACAAATATTCTATTAACATGGCAGTGACCCAGCGTAGCTCTGCAATGAGGCTGTCCCTTTTCCTAAGATAGAAGAGACTTTTCTTGCTTCATTTTAACCCTTATAAGCAAAAATTCCAATTTCAAATTTTACTTCCATTTCAGTCTTTCTGAAGTACACTGTTTCCCTTAGTAGAAAAATTAGTTTTCTAAAAATATACTTTACAAAGTTCAGTGCTATATAAAGAGGACAATAACCTGCAAAAAAGTTACAAAAATAGATTTGCATTTAAAAATCGTATCTGAATACGTGTTTAACAGCACGAAAATGTTTGCCCAAGAACTATGGCAGGTGTGGCTGGGAAAGGGCAGGGATTTCTTCAGTTAGGGTTTTATAGTCCCCTTGCAGGGAATATAAACAGATCACTGTTATCACAAACATGTATGCTTATCAGACGGAAATGCAAAGGAAAGATTAAGGGCAACTTCAAGAGCTGCCTTGTTAGAGGGAGTAGCTCCCCCAGCATGGGAGCAGGGGAGACCAGCTTTTACAACTCTCTTCTCAGAAAACTCAGCGTCCCAGGGCTTATTCCAGGCTCAGATTTGGACATTTGCCATTTTCAGGGTAAACAGTCGGTGATAAGAAGTCAGGTTCTTGGAAGGACAGCCAGGGCCAATCTCAGGCTCGGGTCTGAATGGCACCTGGGAACCTCTGCCCTCCCCAGAGGGTTTATGCTGACTTGGAGCGTGGTGTAGACTCCACAGGCTTGGGCAACTGATGGGGTCTAGGAGATAGTGTTCCGCACAGGCTTCCTGTCAGAATCAACTCAGGGTGGGTTATTGGGCCTGTTCTCAGGGAACCCCTGAGGTGCTAACTGAGTTGCTTGTTGGGACTGCTGACCCCTCCTTATGCTCCCAGGTGCTTCAGTGCAGCAGCATAGGACACTGGACATGTGCTACCCAGCGGCTCATTAGGAAGACATGGGTGGAGGGCCAGCAGCCAGGCCTCTCCTTCACACTGTGGTCCTGGATGCAGTGGAGATGTTAGAATAGCCCAGAATACTCTGTAAAGTTCAGCCTGGGCTGCATCTGAGAAAACTCACCAGGATCCTCTTGCCAGGTGCAGGATGCTTTCCAACAGCCTGACCCAGAACCTGTGCCTTCTGTGCCTTTGTGGTCCTTGGCTCCTTCCTGCTGCAGTGGGGTGGAGTAGGGGCAAGCAGATAGGATCTTCAAGAAACACAGGTGTTGGGCCCACTTGCTACCTGCAGTAGACGCTTCTTGGGTGCCCACTTAGGACAGAGACAGCCCGGACTCTGCATATTCTGAGTGTGAAAGACACAGCTCTCTTTTAAAGTACAAGGTGTGAAGTATTTTTCTTGGGTATAGGAGTAGGGACTTCTTACAGAATGAGAGATTTGCATAAAGACTTCAGCCCATGGTGAATGTTCACTCCTAACTGCTCCCAGAGACCAAACCTGAGGCTGGGGCATGGGGACACCTCTCCCAGGAACTGACTCAGAGACAGATGAAAGATGGACACTCTCAAAGGCACTGGGGGCTGGTTGTTCTTGAGGAATGGTGGAAGGGCAGAGTTAGGACTGAGACATGGAAACATGGTGACTGTGGCCTCAGCTCTCAGCCCACAGTTCCATGCCTCCTGGGACAAAGCAGAGCAGATATTTGGGAAAACACATTCTCAACATTAATAGCAACAAAGTTTTATGCAGGAAAACTGAAATACAAAGGAGAGCAAAAGCAAGCTTGAATAGTCTTGGCTATTTTATTATGTTATAGGAAAGTATTTCAAAGTACAAAAATACTAGGATTTCTTGGCTACTGTTGGGCTGGCTTATGACTAACTCCCCTTCTTCATCTGCTTCTTGACCACTAAGTGACAGAAGAATCCGAGTCATTCTGCTTCCCAGTTCTGTGCAGAGGGCTAAGAGCTTTCTTTACATTTTGGAGTGAATTGATAAGGAAAGGGCCTGACGGGCAAAGGTGGTAAATCTCAGATGTGAGAAATGCTGTTCAGGCTTCTCACTACTTTTCAGGAATCCCACAGGGAGGCCACCCTTGGGGAGCAGAGTCAGGCTCTCTGCTTCCCTAGCGGATCCCCTGGTGTCTGCTTTCTTGGCCAGGATCCCAGGCCGGAGCACAGTTGCCACCTCCCTCCAGGACAAGATGCTAGTTATGCTTGAGGGTGCCCCATGGCACCTTCATCTCTGGTTCTTGCCTGGGACGCCCCAGGCAAAACCTGCTGCCCGCTCTGTCTCAGACCACTGATGCATCTTCTCTGACATCTGTTATAGTGTTCTAAGGTAGGGTCTATTAATTCATTTCCTTTGTTACATCGTGTATTTCTCAATCGGGGATTCTTCCTTGGTACAGGGGAAGAGGTGGATTTGACTAAGAGTGGGTGAAATACTGGTGACAATCAGATCACAAGGAGGAGAGCTCTAACGACGTGGACTTCCCCTGTAAAACACCTACAGATGTGAAAACACTGTCATTCACTCTAAATCTAACTTCCCGATGGCCATTCGATCTCTCCTCACCTGCCTGTGAGGTGCAGCTCCTGTGACTGTTAGCTCTTGCCTGGTGACCTCACAGATGACACTTTCTCACTCAGTGCATGGAGACCCGGGCAGAAACAAGGAAGAGTTTGCACATTTGCAGCAAAATATTTTAAGGGAAAATGCAAAGATTGTCTCCCTAAAATTTTGCAGCTGGAGAAAGGTGCAGGCAAAGTGAGTTTTCAGAGCACCATTTTTGTGATCTCATGAAATTTGCCCAAAATTTTCATCTGAGACTCACATTTGGGTGCTAAACTGAGTGTTATGATGCACGTTTGGAATCCCAGCATTCCGGGAAGTGCAGGCAGAAGAATCAGAAGTTCCTACCCAGTCCAGGCAACTTAGTGGGACCCTGCCTCAAGTTAAAACATAGAAAGGTGTTGGGGATGTGGAATGGTGCAGAGTGCTGGGTTCGATTCCCAGTACTGTCCAAAATAAGAAAGAAATCTGACTGCTGTGTTCTTGCACAAACTCTTGCAGTTTCCTTGTCTTGATGACAGGCGATTGGCCTGAACATTGGTGGATCAAATGTGGAATCTTAGCTATTCTTGGTCGTACTGTCTTGTTTTTGCTGACTTCATGATGTCAAGACAGGGAAAGCTTATGAAGTTTCAAAACAACGGAACGGAAAACAGACAAGGCTAGTACTCATGATCAGAAAACACTGGTGAACCAATGGAGGTCACAGCAGGGAGACACATACAGAAGTGAGTCTGAGGGTGAATCCTACCCTTCGGGTCCTTTCCTCCCGTGAAGGAACGGAGTGGCTTGTCCCATGTACCTGACACAATGTGAGTGTACCGAGCAGGCCTGCCAAGGACACGGGGCTCCTTGTGTATCCTTGCCTTCCACAGTCTCGGAGGAGCAGAGCCAGTGGAATGCAGCAGTGGCTGGAAGACTTGTGGCCCATGCTCCTTTGCCTGGATGGACTGAGTGTAGCAAGTACATGGGCTTCTTCCTTGGACAGCCCAGGAACTCAAAATCAGGCATGGTGACTGACTAGAAACCCCAAGATCCCCAAGAGGTAAAACTCCTATATATCTTTACTGTTTTTCTAATGTACCTCGCCAAAACGTAAACTTCTGCCCAAATGGCCAAGATTCTCACTGAGTGTGTTTTGTGGAAGCTTCACAGTTTGGAGCCTGGGGAATGTACCTGCACTTCCCCAGCACATCTGGGGAGGAGCACTTCTGGCTGAGGGTCCAAAGACAGCTGCCCCGTGAGAGCCAATCCTGATCTGCAACAGAACAGGGAGTGGCTGGGTCCCGGGTGGCTGAAGGGGCTGGAATCTGTGTGGCAGAGGCTGTGCTCCATGTCATGCTCCAATGAACTCACTGCTCGGCGGGGCCACCCGAAGGTATTCTGCATTTTCAGCTGTGGGGCTCTTAAAGATGCCATTGGGCTTGTTTTCCTTGGGAAGAAAGTCCTGCTGGTAGTCGGGGTTGTCCAGGCTCATTTGGTGGTTGCCCTTTTGTGCCCAGGGGGTGGAGCCGTCGAAGGTGTTGCCACAGGTCGGCAGGAGAGTGTTGAGATACTCAGGGTTGCCCACGGCATGGCTGTGGGGGTTTTGGTAGTGCTGGTCTCTGCCGGGGGCAGGATGTGGGGGCTGATTGTGATACACCGGGTTCTGCACGGAGCCTGCGGGCCTTCTGGGGCAGGATTGGTTTATGTATTCTGAAAGTGAAAAGCGAACAGGGCAAGGTCAGCTCAAAGCACTGCCGAGATCCCAAGGCGAACCCTGTGAGTGTCTTCAATTATAGTCGTGGCAGAGGCACAGACGCTCAGAGGCGACTGCAGAATGCACTGCACACCTTTCTTCTCTTCCTGAAGCCAGGGCACTTGTATCCTTGGCAAGTTTCAATTGCTCAGAGGACAGCTGGCCTCTACAGGTGTGTGTGTGTGTGTGAGTGTGTGTGTGCAGTCTGCAAGTGACAGGAACTACAGCTGAGATTAGGAAAATGCACATTTCACAGCCGAAGCACAGAACCAAGCAGGAGGACATGCATGTCTGTCATATGCACACACATCCACACCCACACACACACATGCACACAGTGTGTGTGCATAAACACACACATACAGACGTGGCTATCTTTCCTGTCTGCTTCAAACTCCAGAAAATTTGTGGATCCATGTCTAAAACAGACCCACAGAAAACAGCCCAGCAGCCTCCCGAGTCCACACCAGGCCTTGTACATGCTCCAACTTTCAAGCTGCACAATCCCCAGGGAAGGGGAGGTGAGTGATAGTTTCCCGAGCAAGAGTGGCCACTCACCAGGTGCCGGCAGGAACTCGTCGTCCAGGCTGTCCTCGGCCAGGGTGCCTGTGGGGTCGGAGCTGTAACGCTGAAGGAAGCTGTCTCCCTGGACAGGGCAGGTCTGTTGGGAGACAGGCAAGGTGACCTCACCGGGCCCAGACCCCATCTACCCTGCTGCAGAAGGGCTCAGGGCCCAGGGCGGGGCCCAAGAGTAGGGACTGCGGGTGTCACACTGCAGATGGCCACACACTATGTCCCCAGGTGCCACCGTTTGCCCCATTCACAGGGAGGCCACAGACAGCAATGCACACCCCACATGCATGAGGATTGAGTATACACTCCTCCTCACGGGAACTGTTACCCCTCCAGTGTAAGTGTCACACAAAGGCACCCAGCAGCACCCTGATGGCTGGTGGGAGCGCAGGCCACTGGCTCCCCAGAGACCCTGGTTCAGCAGGTCTGGCTAGTGGCCTGAGCAGTGACACCTTTGTTTTTCTTCTGTGGTACTGGGGTCAAACCCAGGGCCTTGGCACTGAGCCATATCCCGACCCTTCTTTTTGTATTCTTTCTTTTGAGACAGGGTCTCAATGAGCTGCTAAGTTCTTTGAGCTTGGCTTAAACCTGCCTCAGCCCTAGGGCATTGGGACTTACAGGTGTGCACCACCTGCCTGCTGAGAAGGTACACTGGTAACAAGCTAGTCAGTGGTGCCCACACTGTTCCGTGGTTCAGGAGCCACCCTGTGAGCAGCAGCCTGCAGTGATGGCTAATCGCCAGCCTTGGGGCTCAGAGAGGAAGCAGGAGAGGAGCCATGTGAGTCGGCTCGGACGGTCACTTCCCATGCACGGCAGAGCTGAGCTGAGAACAGAGCTGCTGGGTAGTTCTGCTGTGTAAAGGGTTTACCTACCCCGTTTCTGTGGACACAAGCTCCTGTCGAGTTGTTGCTGTTTGCACTCTGAAAAGGAGACAGAGATGGTGTTGAGGAGCACTGCCCCCCTCCGTGCTTCCCCTGAAAGTGGTGGGTCTCAAGTGGGAAGATTTGAAGGTGCTTAATTTCCCTCTTGACTCACTCACTTTAAAAAACTAGGGTTGGCTGGATTTCGTGTTGTTCCTGGGCAGACCAGGGAGGATTACACAAGTAGTTGTGGTGTCACAAAGTAATCCATACCTGTACTTGACTGATTTTGATTTTGACTCTACTACTCAGTCAAAATTTGCTTCTTTGTCAGGTGAGTTTCACTAGGTCTAGGTTGCCATTTTCTCAAAACTCAGTGTGTTTAAAACACTGGAGGGAAGGAGGGAAGAAAGGAGTGGGTGAGGGAGGGTGGGAGGGAGAGGAAGAGAGAGAGACAGATAGAGAGACACAGACAGAGGACAGAGATGTGGGGGAGTGCGTTGTGTACCAGAGAACTCAGGAGGGGCGTCCGGGAGGTGGAGGGGCTGCTGAAGAAGCCCTGCTGGGGAATGAGGTACTCGTCTGCATCCACAACGTCCTCCATGTCCTCCTCATCCATCAGGGCTCTGTAGAAGTTGGAGTCCGTAGGGCTGGGCAGATGCATCCTCTCATCACCCTGGGGCAGGGAATGTGATGGTTACAAGGGTCCTAGCAGCTGCCCCTCCTGGCCACAGCAGTGGGGCTCTGTCCACAGTGGGGCCTGTGTGTTTTCGGATTCAATCTCCTGCAGACTGAGGACTGAATCCAGGGCCTTTCCACTGAGCAGTGTCCTCAGCACATTTTAGAATTTTTTATCTTGGTAGAGGATCTCACTAAGGTGCCAGCTTCCTCAGGCTTGGTTCAAACTGTGATCATCCTCCAGCCTCACCCTTCCTGAGTGCTGGAGCTGCAGGTGTGTCATCATACCTGGCTTGCATTTATTTATTTTTGAGACAGGCTATCACCATAATCTAGGTTGGCCACAAATCTGTGATCCTGCCTCAGCTTCTCAAATGCTGGGATTGTGAGCAGGCCAACCATGCCAGGTTTCCAGTTTAGTTGTAACACAATCCCCGCAGCTTTCCACAGTACACAGCTGCTTCCCCCACTGCATGTGGGGACCTGCATGTCTGAAAGTCTCTGTGGGAGGAGAAAGGAAAGAGGCTACACCATTTGTTGGCATGTACGGTGTGTGCTGCTAGGGGCTGCACAGTTCGCTTCATCACTGTGCTACCTGACTGAATCTGAGCAGAGAGACAGCCCTGTGAGTGTGGTTTTGCTGCCCCACATTAGGTGAGTGACTGATGGGTGGGTCGCCCCAGGTACACAGGGATGGGAAGCTCTATTTACTCCTCCTCATGCCAGGCAAGGGCTTGGGGGCGGAGCTGTGGGGCCCAGGGAAGGGGCAGCTGCATCTGGGAGGAGAGTTAAGAGGACCCACCACTGGCTCACAGTCCAGCCTGCTCCATAACTGGGAACCCACGGTGGGGTTCATGAGGCCAGTGCTCTACGGAGCTATGGCTCTGGGTGCCACGGATCTAACAGTGTGCCTGAGGCGTGGCTGCAGAACAGGCACAGTGACAGCAGAGGGTGCACAGCTCTGGCCCAGTACCTGAATGACGAGGTAGCGCTGGGGGTCTCGGGCCATTTTGGAGAACTCAACAATCAACTCGCGGAACTTTGGGCGGCTGTCTGCATCTATCATCCAGCCTGAGAAAGGGAAGAAAACAGCAATCAGAACCAGGAAGGAATGATAAAGATGGTGTTGGCTGTGGCTTATGGCTAGATGTCCCCTGGGAGCCTGGCTTTTGGGGTGAGGAAGTAGGGCCTGGTGGGAGAGGGGTCCTTGGAGAAGGGCCTGGAAGGGTCTGTCTTCCTCCTGGTACCTACCTGCTCTCTGTGCTTCCTGATACCACGCCATTCCTGGGCCAGACCCTCTGTTGTGTCGCCCTGCCCTGGGGCCAGAGAACACAGGCCAAAACCTCTACTGTGAGCCTAAACAAACCTCTCTTCCTTTAAATTGTGTGTGTGTTGTGTATTTTGTCTCAGAAACAAGAAAATAACTAAAACAGATTTCTTAAAGAAAGCATTTATGTCACAAGAGACCCAGAATAGCCGAAGGAATCCTGAGGACAGTAAGCAGACAAACAAACAAACAAAACACAGGCTGGAGGCTTCATAACAGCAGACTCCACACCACACAATAAAGCCATGGTTATTAAAACAGTGCAGCACGCAGCAAGCAGGCATCGACCAGGCAGACAGGACAGGGAGGCCAACTGCTAATACACACAGTGCACAGCCACAGAACTGCTGAGTTTTGACAAAGGTACCAAGAATACATAGTAGAGAAGACAACTTCTTTCCTAAGCAGTGTTGGCAAAGCTAATGCACACAGGAGAGGAACCAGACCTTGCACACACACAAAATGCTCAAAATGGATTAACACATTGAAACTCAGGTGTGAAACTATGAAACTACATCCAGAAACCATAAAGCAAACTTTTCAAGACACTGGTGTAGGTAACAGAAAGCACAGGAAAAAAAAAAAAAAAAAAAAAAAGATAATCCCAGTACCCTGGGAGGCTGAGGCAGGATGGCTGCAAATTTGAGCCAAGCCTGGGCAACTTAGGGACTTAGTAAGACCCTATCTCAAAAAAAAAAACAAAAAAAGGGCTGTGGTGTAACTCAGTATGAAGGCCCTGGATTCAACCCCTAGTATTGGGGGAAAAACTAAGAAAACATCAAAGAAGCTTTTGCACAGAAAAACAACAATAAAAACAATCTACAAGAGTCAGAGACAACCTATGAATGAAAATCTTTGTAAACAATACAAATATAAGTTGAATACACACAAAATCCCCTAAAATAAACAATTTAATTTAAAAATGGGCAAAGAACCAAATAACATCTCCAAGAAGACACACAGGTGGCAACAGATATATGAAAAAATGCTGTTTCATGAATCATCAGAGAAATGCAAAACAAAACCACCCTGAGATACATTTTACCCCTGCTAGAGTAGCCCTCACCCCAAAGATGGGAAATGACAAATGCTGGCTGGGATGGGAGAAGAGGAGCTTTTCAATACCGTGAGTGAATGCAAGTTAGGACAGTTGTGGAAACTGTGGAGACTCCTCAGAAACTTCAGCAGGAACTACCGTCTGACCCAGCAATTCCATGTCTAGTTACATACCCGAACAATACAAAATCTCAGACCAAGGAGATACCTGCACCTCCATGTTTCCAGAGCCAAAATGCAGAGCCAACCCAGGTGACTTTGCCTTGAATGGATAGAAAATGTGGTATGTTTGCATAGTGGAGTGCTATGCTGCCAGAAAAAGTGAAACCTTGCCATTTGTAGCCATGTAAATGGAAATGGAGATCATTACATCTATGAAAGAAGTCAGACACAGAAAGGCAAAAGCACACATTCTCAGTCGATTAGGGAAACCTTGTGGAACAGTGAGCACTGGAAATGGGGAAGGGTTGGGGGACAGAATTCAGGGTCTTCTAGGGATTGGGAAGGTGGGGAGCAGAGGAGGAAGAGGAAGGGGAAGGCTGCGATCACTGCATGTGTGCACACCTGGAAACCCCAGTGAGCCCCACAGATCTGTACGATGAGTAGGTGGCACTAACAGGAGAGGAGGAAGGATGCTGTTACCAGTGTTAAGAAGAAGGCAGTTCTGGTGCAGTGCTGTGGGCCAAGCCATGGGGAGAAGCCCAACCTTTGGCGGCAGCTCTCAGCCCGGCCCCTGTGCTGTCACTGTCACAGATCAGCAAACAATCGGGTCTCTGATTTCCTGCACTGCTTTTCTGAGGGCCCTGTGATAGAGCCATGGCAGTATGCAGCGACTTCGTGGTTATGGTGGCTGCAGGCACCCTTTGGACCGGGCTATTGCCCCATGACACAGCCCCAAGCTCTGAGGAGTCCGCACCATGGCACTGGGGAGTGCAAGTCTGACCCCCATGGTGCCCCACAGCATCCTGCACCATGCAGGGCAGGGCCAGCAGTCTGCAGCCTCCTTTCCTTTCTTAGCCACCCACAGAGCCAGGGTGGAACCCAGAGCTGCAAGTGCTGGTGCCTTCCTCACCAGTCCGCACACCAATCCCACGACTGGTCCAGTAGGGGGAGTGCTGTCCCTGGACTTCCTTGGGCCTCTCCAGAGGGCCCATTATTCCTCCAACAGGGCACTGAGCTACCTCCAGCTGGATATGCTGTGACAGACAAACCACGAGACCCTCTGGATGCCGATCCCATGGCAGCAGAACCAGAGACCGCCCCCGGCCGCACAGAGCTTCTGACCCAGGGCCCAGAGCACGGGGGTCTGGTGGAACAGCAGTGCACTCAGTCCTCCCACAGGGCAGTGTTTAATACCACCCGGTAGAAGACCTCGCAGAAACCCACTGTCCAGACCTCACAAAGCAGGATGCTGATCCTATCAGCCTCACTGGCAGGGATCTGAAAACATTCCGTCCCATTGCCACAGGCTCTGCAGTTCACCAAGCAAACCACAGAGCAGAGGATTGGGGTGCAAGACTTGGCTTACTTCTCTGCTCATGAACATGAGCAGATGTCAGGCCCCACAGCCCAGGGAGTCCGCTCTGAAGAAGGTGTGCGGAGCATTTGCAGTGCTCCTGGGCCCATGCGTCTGCCCCAGAGGGGTGGAAGATCGTGCTGTGGGCAGTGGGCCAGAAGCAGGGCCCGCCCGGCCCACCTGGCACTCACACTTGACCATGATCATGTAGACGTCGATGGTGCAGATGGGTGGCTGCGGGAGACGCTCCCCCTTCTCTAGGATGGATGAGATCTCGCTTGCGGGGATCCCGTCGTATGGCTTGGACCCGAAGGTCATCAGCTCCCACACCGTGACTCCTGGGGAGAAGCAACAGAGACAGCCGTCATCTGGAGGCAGGTGCCACACCCAGCACCGTGGCCCCTCGGGGTGCTGCTCTCTGCATGGCTCCGGCATAGCCACCTAACAAGTGGGAACTAGCAGCACCAGGTGGTTTCAGTGAAGGAACACAACTGAAGGTGTAGGAAAGGCCTGGCAGACCGCAGCTGGCTCATAAGAGGAGAACAGCAGTGACAGTGCAGAGGGACAGTGTGCAGTGTGTGTAGATGGTGCTGTAGCATGCTCACACCCATGTCGGTGCTGTGGTGGAGTCACGTTCACACCCGTGTCTGCTGTGGCAGACTCACACCTCATGCCTGTATTCATGGGAGCGAAGGGACAGGGATTCTGAGGAAGGCAGTAGCTCATGTTCCTCATGAGAAACACAAGAACCTCACATTTTTTGTTTCAAAGTCAGTCAATGCCAACTTGTTCAATCAAGTTGAAGCGGGTGTTGCTTGGATCGAGTTTTCTCTGACAAGCCCAGCTCTGCTGGGCCCCTTGCTCCGGCTTCCCTAATGAGAGGCTCCATTCTGCTATGGGCAGCCTGGCCTTCCTTGGCTCCTGGTATCCTGCGTGCTGTGGAGGCAGCCACAGAGGGACTGAATGTGGACTTGCACCACCCAGACCTGGCAGAGCGTCTCAGTCCAGTCGCCAAGAGACCCGTGTCCCTGGACCTGAATGCTAGGTCTGTATGACAGTTCAAGCAGTAACAACTCAAAACCCATTTGAAACTTTCTACAGTGATGCTCAAAAAGGCTTAGATTTTGCTAAAGTCTATGCAAATATTCCAATATCATAAAAATCCTAAATGTAAAATACTTCCTGTACCTCCATGCATTTTCGAATAGGGCCCCCTAACTGTACTGCAGACCTGCTCAGATTTTATGAGGCCGTTTTAAAACAGGGCTTCCAAGTTAATGTACAGAATATAAGGTCAGAAGGGAAAGGGAAGCAGGGTCCCAGGCCACAGCACAGACCGTGGTGTGTCCACCTGCATGGCGGTGTGTGCAGGGAAGGGCTGTTTGCAGGTCAGCAAAGTCAGTGAACACCACCAGCAAGCTTCCACGCATGCGTGGTGGTTCCTGGGGGAAGGCAGGGGCACTGGCTCCCGAGGTGGACAGCGGTGAGTAGGGTGCCCCTGCGTGGGTGCCGGGAGACGGGGCTGCACTGCTTTTCAGCTCCTCGGTGAGAGTACATCCAAAGTGTATTATAATCTTTTCTGGCAGTACAGGGGTTGAACCCAGGACTCTTACACTAAGCCACATCTCAAGCCTTTTAAAAAATGTCTGTATCTTGAGCCAGCCAGGTTTCCTTAAGATGGACAGGAACTTGCAATGTCCCTGGGTCAGCCCTAGGTGTGCTGGGACGGCTAGCAGGCGTGCGCCACTATTTCATCTTACTGCAGAGCCGATGCAGGCTCGCGGCCAGCAACCCCAGGTGCTGTCACACAGCACAGCACCCAGTCGGGTCAGACACAGGCCCGGGACCCCTGGGAGCCGCCTCCGCCATGCACCCCGTGATGTGGATGGTGGAGCGGGAGGGTGGGGCCACGAGGTGCACTGTCGTGCACGTGGTAGGAGTCAGCAAAGGCAAAAGGCGGTGGGAGGCAGAGCAGCCAGAGGGCTCAGCAGGCTGGCGCGCACGGGACCTGGGCCCCTCTTGGGGGACACACGGTGACCACAGAGCCAGATGAGCCAGTCGGGCACAGCCCTTCCTGCTGGGCCCGCCGCCAAGGACATGCTGGGCACAGGCACGGCCCAGGCTCACTCATGCCGGCAGAGACTCCGGGCTCTGGGAACTCAGGCTCTGGGCGCTGAAGCTCGCACCTCATGTTTCCCTCACACAAGAGACTCATCGCGAGAAAGGCTGGGAGAGTGAGTGCTCAGGGGTGGGCACCGCGAGCACGGGAAGGGCCTGATGGGAGATGGCAGAGGGGCGAAGACTGTGAGCGCGCTGCTCTGCATGAAAACGCACACTGAGGTGGAGAGAGAAACTTATGCCCCAAAAGAAAAGATCCCAAGAAATCACAGCTGTAATTCTTGGAAGTTAGAAGGCTGACAAGTACTAAAATGGACAGATAAAGAGCAGGTGGCCAAAGCCAGGGGGATGCTGAGTGGGGCCTGGGAAGTCTATTCCTCCGCGGCTCTCCCAGCTTCTGGGCTGAAGCCCCCTTCCTGCCTGCTGCCGCTCTGCAGGGCCGGGGACCAGCAACAAGAGGGATGGAAGGTGTTGTCCCCAGCTTTCTGCAGTGGCTGGAGGCCCAGTGTGGGAGCACTGGTGACAGTGGCCTGGCCAGTGACCGCAGACTGTGTGTGTGCAGGCAGGCTGTGCAGGGCTCTGTGGGACGGAGTTCGCTCTGGGGAATGCTGGGGTGCGAGGGGGGTTCTGCCAGTCCAGATGGGGTGGAGCAATCCTCCCTCCTCCTTCACTCTCTCCACATTCTCCCTGATTCCAAGGCCACCCCGACTTCTGAACACAGCCCTTGTCGGTGTCCAGGAACCCTCACATCTGCCCATGTCCCAGCTCCCACAGACCCTGGACCTGGGCTGCCCACCTCCCTCTGTGCGGCCCCTCCCTGTGCAGCCCAGATGGCTGGAGATGCTCAGGGAAGGGGTCAGACTCTGCTTCCTTTGCTGGGTTTTCAGTATCACAGACAGACAGCAGCTATTACACGCCTGTTAGTCACTGTCATGAAAGAAATGACTTGTGCGTCAGAGCATATAATGCCAATTAACAAACAGCCTCGCACAGTACAAACACTTTAGCATCAGGACTTGGACTCACCATAGCTCCAGACGTCGCTCTGGTGGGTGTAAATCCGGTGTAAAATCGATTCCAAAGCCATCCACTTAATGGGCACCTTGGATGACAGGGATAAAGCGAGGAGACAGCCGTCAGGTGAGGTGACTGAGTGCCTAGCAGTGACACTGGGCCTCCCTCTCCCACAGAGCAGGGCCATGGGGCCAGCCTGCTTGGTGCTGAGGGGCCAAGTACCCCACATTCCAATGGGCCTTCTGGGGCCAGTGCTCTGGCCAATTGCTGCTGAAGCCTTACAGACCACAAGTTTCCCAGAGGAGCAGCGATACAGCCAGAGCCCGGCCTGAGGGCACAGCCTGGCAGTGTCCCTGTGCCCTGGGTGCTGTGACAGTGGCCTGTAGTCCCATCCAGGGAGAAGATGCTGGCTCCCACTGCTGCATACCAGACATGTGTCCCAGGGACCCTTGGAGCTGTAGAGAGCTCTGACACTTCCCAGCAGGCCAAGATTCTGTGACCTCCCAGCTGCTTGTGTCCCGAGAGGCATGAGGGGCCTAAAGACCCCTGCTCCTCTTCCTACAGACCCTGGCTCCACGGAGGAGGGATCGTGACCCGCCACTGTGCCCCTCACCTTGCCGCCCTCTGCGTGGTACTCCTTTTCCTCTGCGCCCAGCAGCTTGGCCAGTCCGAAGTCTGTGATCTTCACATGCTGTGGCGTCTTCACCAGGACATTCCTGGCTGCCAGGTCCCGGTGCACCAAGCGCCGGTCCTCCAGGTAGTTCATGCCCTGAAACCAAGAGGCCTGGTGTGGGCTCCGAGTTGCCCAGAGCTGGGGGCGGACAGCACTCACTGTCCTAAACTGGATGCCACACACACAGGGCTCTGAGGACTACTTCTGTCCATCCTGAGCTTGGCTGGATGGACACAGTGACTCATAGCTGGTGAATGTTAGTGACCATGAGGGGTGATGGAAAAATGTGAATGTTTAGGATAAAAACATTACAGTAAGACACAACCATGGGTCACCTTAACTCTACCCCCTCTCTCTGAACACACTCAACCCACTGTTCTCGCCACTCTCTGCAGCTGCTCTGGAGTCTTCCTTCTTGAATGTCTTTAGTTGTGCCATCCTGACTGCCTCCACGTCCTTGTGACTTTGGAGAGGAGCCAGAAGTCGCAAGGCGCCGGACCCCGGGAATAAGGCAGATGAGGAGGCGCCATGCTTTAATGAGCCTGCTGCCTTCCCCTTGGATGGTGTTCAGCAGCAGCATTCACTGTGCTTTTGATCGCACCTTGTGAAGGTGCAGAGGGGCCTTGCAGACCTGCTTCAGCCAGCGGCAAGAACGACGGGACGAGTATCCAAAGTGAGGGAGGATCTGAAAGGGGATCATGCCATGTGTCTTTTGCTGTAATCATTTTAAAAAAATTAAAACATTCACTGTTTTCAATCACATCACCCCACATATTTGAAAAATAAACCCTTTGAACTGAATTTTTAAACAGTTTATCCCATGACGTTTTATCTCAGAGACCCGCTGAGTGTCATCAAAAAACAGCTCGGAGAATGACACAGAAGCCAGTCCTGGTAGGAGCCCTGCCCCAGCCTTGCGCCTATCACTAGGGCCTCTGATTGCACCCAACACCAGCTCATCTGTGTGCTGCAGATCAGTGTGGCCCAAAAACTCAACCTGTCAGGTCTGAATCTGGGAGATGAGTAACACTCCAGTTTCCAGAATTGGGAAATGCTAAGTGAGTCACAGTCTGAACAGCTTTCTCTACTGCAGGCTTTGCACTAATGCACAGGCTCTAAGGGAAGGCTGGGGCTTTCCAGATGCACTGATGACAGGACCTTCTAGATCAGAAGGTTATCTTCTGGATCAGAACATTTTCTGTCGTGGCATCACCTTGCCATGTGGTACGTGTGGGTGTTCCTAGCTGGCCGCAGATACAATGTCTGGAACAAGATCCCGTCCTGAAGCTGTCTGTGAGCTCAGGACAAGGAGCTGGGACTTGAGCTTTCTGGTGGATAAGTGGGTGAGGACCCACAAGAGATCAAGCTCCTCACGTGGAGAACCAGAATCCATTCCTCCCCATGTGGCAGGCAGTGTGATGCTGGACCTCACAGTTTGGTCTTGGTTTCTGCACTGCCCTTGGTAACTTGCTTTTGGTCTTGGTTTTATTATCATTATTTTCTCTCTCCTTGCACCAGGCTGATATAACTGTATCCTTGGCTTCTTCATGACCATGAACTGGCACAGACGTGGCCAGCTCTCCTGGTGCCTCCAGAAGGCTTTCCAGGAAAAATCCCTTCCTTTGTGGGTCAGCAGAGGACATTTTATGTCAATAAATCCCACTTTGAAAAGCCTGGGAGTTTAGTTTCTGGCCAGTCACTGAGTGTTTCAGACTGGAAAAAAGAGTATTGCTAATACTCAGATAGCGTCACTCACCCAAGAAAAATATCTTGATAATTTGGGAGACCATTATTCTCCTTTCCTCCTGTGACAGATTATCCACTACTGGGACCATTCCAGTACAGTTCAGTAAGGTTTCCTCTTACTAAAAAGCAGAGCTAACACAGGCAAGACTTCAGCTCAAGACAAAGCTGCACGAAGTGTCACAGCAGAGCAGCGGCTTTACAGACAGTCTGAGTTGTGAGAGATGCACACAGCAGCCATCTGGGACCTGAGGTCCCCGCAGCTCCACCTGGGGATATGAGGTAATGGAGCTTGAACGGACCATGCTGGCTGGATCACAGCAGTGCATAGAAGTCACTGCTTCCCACGATGTCTGCAGGAGGCTGTCATGGGGCCCAGAGAAATGTCCTCTTGGGTAGAACTAGAGCCTGTTGCAGGCAATGCTGAGAGGCTGGCGGCCTGAGCCTTGGTCCCAGGGAGTTGGGAGACAGATTTGGCTTCGAAGCCAGAGAGGCAGCGTAGGGCAGAGGCACCTGCCCACTCACGTGGATCCTGGTGTCCGAACAGAGGCCCCACCCTGCATTGGGGAACTGTGCAGGCTGTGGTGCTGCATGCAAAGCACCTCACACTGACAGCTTGGCCACGTCCTCATGTCACAAGTCCCCGTGCTAGTCCATTTGGAGCTGGGATCAAACCCAGGGCGTCACCCGAACTGGGCCAGCTCTCCACTGTCACACAATTCCCAGCCCTGCTCAGTCACCTGTGGAGCTGAGAATTCACGTGAGATAATTAGTCTCTAGGTCCTTCCTGGTGAAGTTGGTATGAAGGAGACCCATTGTGGTGGCACAGGCCAGTAATCCTAGCACTCTGGGAGGCTGAGGCAGGAGGATTGCAGTTTGAGACCAGCCTGGGCAATTTGGCTACTTAGGGAAACATTGTCTCAAAATAATTAAAAATAAAATTTAAAAAAAATTTTATAAAAAGAAAGAAAAGAAAAGGAAAAAGGCCCTGGGTTCAGTTCCCAGTTTGGAAAAAACATCACACTGGCTCCGGGAATGTAGAGCTCCGCCAGCTTGGCCTGGGCAGGGGACAGGTGGTCAGGTGGTCACAATCTCAGAACAAAGCTCACCCACCCAGAGGCTTCGGGGGTGGGGCACAGTGTCCCCACCCCACCATGGTCGCTAGGGGGAAGTGGCCCAGAGTTCTGAGGAGACCTGTAGAAGTAACTCCACTCCCAACAGAACCGGCTGGGCTTCAGCTCCATGGTGAGCCAAACCACCCTGCACCTGTGTCTCGTCTACCCAGAAGCCTGGGAGCCAACCTTAGGTGGCCCTCGGTCGTGCAGACCTCTTTGCTGAGTACTGAGGTGGAGCCCTTCTGGGTGGGGCTTCCTGCATGCATTTCCAGGGGGTGAGCTCAGGTGTTGGTGTGCACACACTGCAACAGACCACGCCAAGCCCATCACCAGATCCACCACCTCACGCCTGGCCTGCCTTTGGGGTGAGGGTGTTCCCACTCCCTCAGCATTTCAGGTTCAACACCTGTGTCCACACGAGAAAGAAGCAGGCATCTGGACACAGGGCAGAGCAGAGCTACCCAAAGACAGAGCAAGAAGGGGGCGACCCAGCCACCAGCAGCTGGACCAGGAGAAGGCTCAGGAGGGAGGACACTCAGACACATGGCCGGATCTGGCAGGACCCGCTGGCTGCTGGGTCTTGAGAAGCCCCATGTGTGCAGGGACTGGGGCAGCAGCCCGAAACACAAAGAGACAGGGGTAAGGAGGCTTTACACATGGGCACCACCCCTCCTCAAGGGTTAGATGCCGGAGTGGAAGGTGCCCCCCTTACTTCTGGCTGCTCTCTTCCACTGCCTGCTCCTCCTGGTGGCTTCCTGCCCTCGCTGACCTGTCCCACTCACCTTGGCGATCTGCACACACCAGTTGAGGAGGTGCTGGGACCCGATGTTGTCCTTGTGTTCGCGCACGTAGTCCAGCAGGCAGCCGAAGGGCATGAGCTGTGTGACCAGCTGCACGGTGGAGGTCAGGCAGATGCCCAGCAGTCGGCACACGTGGGGGTTGTCCACACTGGCCATCACATAGGCTTCCTGTAGGAGGAGGGCACACGTCAGGGATGCGTGTAGGCTCAGACGTGTGCTCAGGCTGCGTGCACGGACTCTTGGAGGCTGGGGAGTTGCAGAGGGGCAGGGCCTGGGCTTTTTGGGTCCCATGTGAGCCCAGAACTACAGGGTGGGAGACTCAGTCCCCTGGTG